ACACGTACCTCCACTCTTTCCTATCCTGAGCTAAACTTCGCATTTCCCTAAAACTAGAACAGCCCACATCCTTAACTATTTGCGAAGAGTAATCTAATCTAGGTCTACCTCTACCCCTCCTAACTCCTGTTTCTGCCTCTAATTGAAAATTGATAGGTACTTAATAAGTAACCAGCCGTTATTTATTAGTTTCAGACAATAAAATACACACTGGATAAGAATTTGTACAATACTTCTAATTAACTTTATTTTTTTAGACACTCCCATATTCACATTAGATGAAATCAAAAGATTTATTAAAGACTGCTTTATGTCGCTTGGCACAGAAGAAAAGCATGCACAAACGATGGCAAATACCCTAGCGGAAGCTGACTATAGGGGTCGTTACAGACATGGATTGACTTCATTAGGTATAATACTTATAAAGAACAGTACAAGTTCTTGGTTAGTAATTTATCGATACTGCCAGATGTGGATAGCGATGATCTTATTAGATCTCATGAGCACGCCATGGGGGCAGTTTCGATACCACCGACCAAATCGAAGGAGCTCTTTCACAGCAATTTAATGTGACGTCTACTTATGGGGCTATGTCGTCACTATTTACTAGTATCGTCTGTGATTTAAGTATTTCATACAGACCAAGAGATAGTGACACAAAATCCCGACTCATTTTTTATAAGTATAGTATCGTATCAAAAATTAAATTACGTAATTCATGAAAGGGAAATAATGGTCATAGATCATGGAACTCGGCATCGGGATGTAATCAGTTATAGGACGAAGTATGCAACTTGTCGGACAAATGAAGGGTTTACAAAGATTTTTAACACAGAGAATCTTATATTTTCACGTTACTAGACACGTTTCTCGCCCCTTGGGCACCTTCGAATTACCATCAGAAAAATTTGATCACATCCATATCCACATAGACATAATACCCAGCTCGAAACCATTACTGTCTTATATATGTGTGTAGGCAGATTTACACTTTGACATGAACCGTTTGCCTTGGCAGATCAAGAAGCCGCTACAATTGCACGAACATTGTAGTAAGGATGGATCCGTCGTTTTGGTACAATTATAAGAATCACTATGGACCAAGGCAGACAATTTGATTCCCAACTTTTCAGAAAGCTATCCCACTTAACAAACTCGCATCGCATCCGCACCACTGTCCACCACCCCTTAGCAAATAAAAGCCGCCATAATTTATCACCAGACCAATAGCTGAACTCGAATTCTTCTCACCGTTCTACTGCGTATCCGTGTGACTTGGAAAGAAGACTTTAAGGCAGTGTTGCCAATTCGAGGGATTTATCCCGATTCGAGGGATTTTTGACGTTCTCGAGGGATAAAGGGATTTTTCCTTATTTTTGCGGGGATTTTTTGTAATTTGCCATTTTCTGGTTGGTTTTGTTTGATTTTGTTGACATGATATTATATTATGAAGGCTAAAAAGTTCTAGAATGTGTACGTTTGAATATATTTCGTGAATCAGACACTTCAGATGATATTATTTGATTATAAAAAAAGTATTACGACCAAGTGAGTAGATAACTCTCTACGTACGATATGTACGGGGTGATTTATTTATGTTTCGTCCCCAGTTTTCACTGGGAGCTAAAAAGGTAATTCAAGAAGAAATGGAATTTAATGATTTTTTTAATGGTTTACTGAATGAATACAAGTACAAGCAGTTTCTTATATAGCCGTAGTCTCCTAATTGTAAAATTATATTTCTCTAATGAGAGTTCGGCATTTTAAATAAACCCGAAACGGATTAAGTGCCTCATGTCAACCACTATTCTGTCATTCATTTTTTTAAAGTAATACAAACTATTTTTTATAAAAAGCGCCGTAAGTACTAATTAGCTTGCGTTTTTTTTGATATCAGTCATATTTTTTTTGCTTTCTCAAAAATTCTTTAAACATTCAAACTCTTCGTAACACTAAAATAATAATGAATTAATTATTTGTACATATGTCGTGGAAAAGTTAATTATTAAAAGTATTCCGTTCAAATGGTTAACCAATAAAGGACGGGAATGGTTTCAAAACTCTTCTTTAACTTCCTTGGAAGAAATATTTTACAAATATGTAAAAGACAACAAAAAGTATCACTCAACTTTAGTAGACAAATTACCAGTACTAAGCTTCTGGAATCAGGTATGATTAGATTTATAAACGATTTTCTAATATATTTATGGCGTATGAATGTAATTGCGGAAAACAGCCACTGACGATTATTATACNATTAATAATCTTAAGTTAGTTAAGGAAGTTAGGAATAATTGTTTACTAGACAGTTTTGAAAGTTTATACATTTATAAAAATAAACAAATTGTACTTAACAATGACAACGGTTCTATCCCTGGATCTCCGCTATTTAGTCTAGTTTAATTACTTTTATCATTTTTAAGGTCCATTGAACATCAACCTTGTTGGCATTGGGCCATGTTCACTGAACCTTAACAACTATCAGTATAAATTAGGATTAGTTCTCATTTAGGTTTAGTTAACTTCAGTCCCTAAATAAGGTAACTTTGTTACCGAAAAGTGCTTCGGACAACTACGGAGTCGTGTTTTGGCGTTGGGGTTTTGAGCTAGTCTGTTTGTTCTAATACAACAACCGCCAAAGTTTTTTCCAATCTTCATATTTCAATTATTGATGTAAACTCACTTATTATAACCGTTTCATTTCTAACCATTAATGAAAGCAAAACTGTATGCCCAATATAGGTAATGATTATGGACCTCTACTTTGTCAAGAGGGCAAAGAAAAGAACTCTAACTTAAGTCACTGTTTCGTTGTAATCGATCCTGATCGGTTTGCTCCTGGTTTACCCTGTCGTGTATTAGATCTGGTGTCACAAATTAAAAATTCAAAAAGAGTAAGTTTCGTGAATATAGTAGGTGTTAGAAACGGATTTAAAGAATAATTTATGAATATGAATAATATTGAGCCTTCCCAGTAAATGCGAAATGTGGGCAGTATTTACGTGGTAATGTGGATATGTAAAGAAAATTCAAACAATAGTAGGTAATGTTGGAAATTTATTAGATGTTAATAAACTTTTTTACAACATCTTTTATTACCATCTAATAACTTTCCAGTATTACCATTGTTGGAATTTTCTTAACATTGTGGCAATTGTTCAACTGTTTAGTAAGATGTAGTTTGGAGAAAAGTTAGATAATAAAACCTTTTTAACAAAAAAATTAAACTGCCGGAATAACTAAAAAGCAAAAAATAATAAAACTTTGTTTTATTAACCTTAATAACTAAGTTCTTCAACTAGTGCAAGTATACGTAAGTAATTTTGAGTCGGCGCTAAACAATCAATAAACAAAGATCAAAAATCGTTAATGATAGAAAAGAAATAGGACAATTATTTGTAGTTCTGCTATATAAATTATAAAGCATTTAGATTTTATTTTTATTTTCTAAGTTCACAATGCCTTGCAAAAAGGATTATGGCTTCGTAGCTTGTATTTTAATTATTGTAAACAGCAGGAAGGACATAACTACGACTCCCTTCTTACGTATTGTCTTTTCATACTGTAAACTTATGATCCTGTTTCAATTAACTAGTATCAATAGTAGTAATACTCATAAAGTCCAGTTATCCTCCTGGTATGAAACGAGAAAAGGTAAGAAATGAGAATACACAATTTGTAACAAACTTAAAGACACATTTTTTAATTTTTGTGTGCATGTTATCTCTCACATGCACCCCTATTTATTTTTATGCGTATAAAAACTAAAATTATGAAATGGGCAATACCTAAACTAAAAGCAGGATTAGTTAAAAACCTACCTCCGAAATTTTAAATAATTTTGTTTGGGAGTAGCAGGGTGATGCATGCCTTAAACAGCTAATTCGTAGTCATAAAGGAAGGAGGACACTTTTTAAAGAAAATAGGTTTAATTAATTAAATAAAAATTTA